GGGGCTCACGCAGCCTGCAGCCCCGGGTGCTGCCCAGGCAGAAGTAGATGACGGGTTTGGCCGCGCCGTGCATGCCGGCCAAGAGGAAGCTGAAGTGGTAGAAGTAGTGTGGGATGTGCCAGTGCAGGTTCCGGGACAGCCAGTAGATGCCGAAGGGCAGGCCACAGAAGAGGAAGAGGAGGACGGTGAGGAGGACAAGGGCGGGGAAGCCACGGGGCTGGTGCCGCTGGGGGCCGCGCTCCACCCGCAGCAGCAGGAGCAGGCTGGCCCCGCACATGGCACAGCACAGGACGGCCAGCAGGGCGGCTGCCACCAGCCACAGTGTGCGGCACCAGTGGCGGCTGGGCTCCCCGAAGAACTGGGTGCAGGCACCACTGAGCAGCAGGTGCAGCAGCAGGCAGAGAGCCCAGGTGAGGGCGCACACGCAGGTGGTCAGGTGGCGTGGGCGGCGGCACGGGTACCAGGCCGGGAAGAGGGAGGCCAGGCACTGCTCCAAGCTGACGGCCGCCAGGAGGCTCAGGCCCACGATGTAGCAGAAGAACCTCAGCGTGGCCAGGCTGGTCTGGACGAAGGCTGGGAAGTCCAGCTGGCCACGCAGCAAGTCAGGAACGACGGCCACCATGTGGCAGCCGAGGAAGATGAGGTCGGCGCAGGCCACGTCCAGGAGGTAGATGGCAAAGGGATTCCTGTAGACATTGGAGCTGAGCAGCCAGAGGACCGCCCCGTTCCCCAGCAGCCCGCCCAGGCTGAGGGTCTCAGTGAGGGCCAGGATGAGGAGGTTGAATGTCGCATCCTCCTGCCCGCCGCTGGGGGACTCTGTGAGCTGTCCGGATCCTCTCAACTCCATCGTTGGCAAAGCGTGAGGGCGGGTGAGCCAGGAGGGCTGGGAAGTTTGTCCTGCGCTCGCTCGCTCTCCTCCGATGCCCCTGTGGCCACAACAACAGCTGAGTTTGGGGCTCAGGAAACTCTGCCCCTGACCCGCCCCACATTGGAGGAGACAGGAGAGCCAGGGCTGGGTGGGTGGGTGACCGGAGCACGGTGAGACCCCAGGAGGAGGCTCCCCTCCCTTTTGTGCCCTGGTCACTTGACCTGAGCCTCCCTTCTCTGAGACTCCAGCCTCTGAGGCTGCTGCGACGGACGCTCAGGGGCTGGTCCTGCAGGTGGGGGGGGGGGGCGGGAAGAGGGTTCAAGGCCCGGTGGCCCCTGGTGCTAGTGGAGTCTTGATCCTTGGGATGAGTCTCATTTCAAGATTAAAGGCAGCGTATGACGTGCCACCTGTGTCCTATGAGTGGAGTGACTGCGGGGGGTCAACACGTGGTGGCCGGGCAGGTGTGTCTGTCATCATCCTTCCCCCTTCCAGTCCTCCCTTGATATTCCATGAGGGGCTGCTGCCAGTGGACTCCGAGTCCTGAGCCCTCCAGCCTGGCCACACAATGTGGCCAAGGTCAAGACCCCGGGAAACCTCCTTCACCCTCCCCATGTCCCTGCTGCCCTCAGCAGGACCCTCAGGGGCAGGGGGGAGGCTCCATCCATCTCTCCTGCCACTCACCCGGTCCCTGTGGGGAGAAGAGGGACCGATGGTGAGGCGGGGAGGGGCCCAGCCCTCTGAGGTCCTCCCCTCGCACTTCATTCCTGCTGCGTCCCCAGGCAGTCGTGTCACTGGGGCAGGTCCGCGTGCTGCAGACGGGCCAGTGACATAGTTCAGTGTTAGACCTTGCTGGCCTGCCCAGAACTTGGAGCAGGAGACCCGCCTGCAGTTACCTGTCCCCATCCCGCCGCCTGAGGTTGCCTGTCCCTGCTCTGCCACCTGTGGCTACCTCTCCCCACCTCACTACCTGAGGTTACCTGTTGCTGTCTTCCCATCTGTGGTTGCCTCTTCTCGTCCTGCCACCTGAGGTTACCTGTCCCCATCCCACCACTTGTGGTCACCCAGTCCCATCATGGGCCCTGAATGCTGGGTGATCACAGCTCCTCCTCCCGGGGTTGGGGGACATGGATGGGGCCCTGCATCTCCCCAGAGACTCTGCATGGTGCCTCCGTCCCTCCGTGGTGGCTGCTCCCCTTGTCTCTTGGGAGGGGCCATGGTGAGGGTGGATGGCGCTGGGTGCTGAGTGAGGCCCCCTGGGCTGATGTTAGTGGCTTGCTCCCACCCCAAGCTCGGCTCAAAACGCCTGCTCTCCCCCTTCAGGTCTGGGAAGGTCTCAGGGCAACGCAGGAGGAGCCAGCCCTGGGGGGAAGGCCCGCTCTGAGCCAGGGGCGCTGGCTGCCCTGCAGGGTCCTGGTCACCTTCTCTCTCTGTTCAGAACCCCTGCTGTCTGCTGTCTCCTACTTGACAGGCTGAGGCCGTCCCCACCTCGGAGGTGAGTGGCTCAGCGGGGAGGACACGCCGATCCTGCTGCTCCAGGAAGTGAGTGCTGCCCATGGGGCCCAGTGTGGGTCACCCGGCCTGCGGGCCCACCTGGGGGTGGACTCGTCCCTCTGTCCACGTGCTCCATCCTGGAAGGCAGGGCACAGTGACGGACAGGCGGTAGGACAGAGGGGACTGCCCTGGGCCAGCCCTGTGGGATGCAGACCCTTCACGGGGCTGACGGGCATCACTGCCATTACAGGTGGGGATGAGGACAGAGGTCCTCCCACTCTGGAGAGCCCAGGCAGGGTCCCCAGCACTCAGGCCCAGAGAGGTCGTAAGTCAGCCCTCACTGGACCCTGTCCCAGCCACACGGTCCCCCCGCCCCACCCCGCAAAGCTGTCTGCAGGATCCCCAGGGAAGCTCTAGCCCTAAAAGAGTGGGTGGGCTTTCTCTAGCCCCGTGGCCCTCACGCAGGGCTCACCCCCTCCTGGGACGGCTGCCTCGCTCACCTCCTTCACCCAAAGGAGGCTGCACTGCCGTCAGCCTGGGACACGTGTGCCCCAGGGAGAAAGCTGGGATGGGAAGGGGGACAGGAGGAGCAGAGAGAGGAGGAGGGGAGGGGAGGAAGGGGAGCGAGCAGGACCATGAGCGGACAGGAAGAGGACGCAGCAGAGACAGCGCCTGCACCTGCCCCTGGGACAGGCATGGGGAGGGGACGCTCAGCCACTGGGCTGGTGCTGTCTCCTGTCACTGTGACCCTGGAGTGGGTCCGTGTGAGGGACCACCTACCAGTTGGAGGCCGGGGAGGGAGGGAGGGCTCGGTAGGTGGGGCCCCCACAATTGGGTTATGGGGCCCTAGGGTGGGAAGGGGAAAGGGCGCAGGAGGGAGGGGGAGGGGGAAGAGGGACAACAGCAGGACAGAACGGGGAGAGGGCACAGCGCTGGCTCCATCGGCGGGAATCCTGGAGGCCCAGGGCTGTGCAGAAAACCATCCAGGCTCAGCGCCGGGTGTGGCCGGGAGAAGAGGGCTCAACCCTGGGCTCTCTCCTTCACCCTCCCTTGAGAGCCACCAATTTCCCTCCCCACCAGCATGGAGCACAGACAGCGTGTGGGAAGTGGGGTAGACGTGGGCCAGTGCCACCAGGGGGGACTGTCCTTCAGCTGAGGGTCCCCTTCTGGAGTCAGCACAGAGCTGGCCACAGGCCAGGAGGGTGGAGGACAGAGCCTGGAAAGTTACACTGTTGACAGCATCAGACTAGCACCCACGCCCCTCCCCACCCTGCCCCGTCTGGCCAAGCTCCTGGGCTGGCCCCAGAGACCCCCTGGCCACGCCGCCCGTGCTGCTCACCGTGCTGGTGGAGGACCGGCCGGCCCTGGGCCTCAGAGCTCCAGCCCCCAGCGCCTCTTGCAGCTCCTCCTCTGTGTCAACCAGCTCCTCAGAGTCACATGGTGTCTGGCTGGGCGGGTCCAACCAGGGAGGAGTCTCTCTGGGGACCCTTTCTCCTCTGCTCAGCCCCTGCCCAGGTATGGGCAGCAGGAGAAGTGGGCCCCTCCCTGCAGCCTTCTGAGCAGGTCCAGGGAGCACAGAAGCCCACGAGGTATCTGTGTGGAGCTGCGCCAAGCTGTGACCTCACCATGCTCTCGGCTCAGAGACACCAACCCCCGTGGGGCCCTTTAGGGACCACTTCTCTCCATCAGAGACTTGGAGGGGGTGGCCGCGTGCCAGGCAGCCAGTGGCACTGTGCTTGCAGTGAGATGCGTCTGTGTCTACAAGAGTGGAGCTGCTGGCCGAGCTCCTCCAGGCCGGCCCTGCTGTGGGGAGAGCAGGCTGCGCCCTCTCTCCTGCCCCTGCCCACAGGGACGCTGGCCGGCTGGCCAGGGAGCTGCTGCACGGTCTCCGTTCGAGCAGAACTGACACATGCAGCAGCGTCATACCTGATGATATCTTGTGAGCTCAATTACTCTGCTTGCTTCCAAGGGGAAAAAATGTGCCCCTCCCAGGCTACACCTCACCCTCCAGTGCCTGCCGGTAAGTGAGGTCACGGCTGACGTGCAGAGAAAGAAAACAAGTTCAGTGTTTGGCTCTTGATCTTCCAAGAGTCCAGGTCCTGGCAACACTTTCCTCATCTTTGTATTTTGAAAATCTCTGACGCAGACTTGCTGACTGCTACTCTGTCCCCACTTGTGCGCTGTGTCGCTGCTGAGCCACATGGTAGTGGCTTTTCACCTTTAAATACTTCAGCAGGTCCCTCAGAGCGGGGCACCCTCCCTCCTAACCAGAGTGTGAGGGCTGCGCCAGCAGACTTGTGGTCGACGCGCCGCTGTCATCTGATACACAGTTGCGCTGTTTGTTAAGGTTCTGTCTCTGAGCTCCAAAGCCACCCTTCCTTGGCCGGCTTTGTGACGCTGGGGCTGGGGCCGGGCCTGGGCTCTGCAAACCCCCAGGGGCTTTGCCAGCTGCTCCCTGTGAGGCTCTGCCAGTAGGGGGCGCTGGAGGAGACTGCAGGGCTGGAGGGCTGGTGGCCCCCGCTCCAGTTCTGTTCCTGGTCCTGCACGTGTGTTTCCTGCCGTGGCTACCACAGCAGCTTTCTTCACCTGGCAGCAGCAGCTGACTCCAGTTTGCAGTTTCTCCAGCACTTGAGAAACCAGCTCCATTGATGGCCACCAGCTGGCCGGGACCCCCTCGTCGGAGATCTGAACTGCAACTTTGCAGGCTCCCGCAAGTTCTTAATTTCATAATCCTAACCTCCTGCCTTTGTTCCTTGAGCCCTAGGGGTGGCAGGTCTTGCAGTCGCTACTCTGTAAAATCTCAGGGTTCCCTTTTCTCCCTCTTGGTTCTTTAATATCTGAATGAACAATTATTTAAGTTCGTCCTGTCAAAATTACATGTAGCTTTTTCCTCCTGGCTATGTCCCTGCTGGTACTGAAATGGGTCACAGAAGGGGTCTGCTATAGGTTAAATGTGCCTCCCAAAAGTTCATGTATGGAAACCTATCTCCACTGTGATGGTGTTAAGAGGGTGGGAGATCCGATTATGTTATTTGGAAGGTGGGGCCTTGAAGAGGTGATTAGATTGTGAGGACTGCACCCTCAGGAATGAGTTGATCCACTCGTGGACTAATGCACGTGGTTCCGAGGCTTTCTAAGGAGAGTGAGTGAGCAGGTCAGCTCTCTCTTGCTCAGCCCATTCTCACCATGTGACCCTCTGGTCACCCTGGGACCCTGTAGAGTGTTCCCACCAAGAAGGCGGCCCCCACCAGAGGTGTTCCCTGAACCTTGGACTTCCCAGACTCCAAACTGTAAGAAGTAAATTTCATTTCTTTATGAATTACCCAGTTTCAGGTATTCTGTTATAAGCAACAGAAATGGAGTAATACACGATCCCGGGAGCAACGTGGTAACTTTAATGGCTTTGGTTGTGTCTTTGCCTTGCTGGTGATGAGCTTCCTGTCGGTGGCAACTGGGATGCTAGTTAATCAGATGAACACTTGCGATAG